GGCACGGTTCCGAAGCTCTTTCCAACCGTATGAGCGTGGTTATCCGGACCTCCGTGTAATCCCGAGACGCGGATCCATATCATGGAAGTCGTACTGTATATTCCTTGGTCGGAGTTAGCAGGTTGGTTGGCCTTTCAATATGGCAAACATTTATTATAATTGTAATATGATAGCATAGCTGTAGTTTACGAGATGTTAATGAGGTATTGTCAAGTCATATATATAAATCATTATCTACCACGTGCGGCAACACTGTGCCAAGCGTTCAGCCCTGTAGCCGCTGATCTCTAACCGCATAAGGTCTGACTTGGCAAAGTGGCGGCTAACCTGTATGTATCCAAGGTAGTTAAGACATGATGAGATTTAGTTTGAGACATTTCAGCCAAATGTCACGTTTTAGGACAGACTGGACGAATAAAATCATGGTAGAAGAGAGGTAAACTGATAAGTTAAAACTAGTCTTGTCAAAGTTAGCGAATCAGTGAATACATTATGGCGGACGTGTACATATTTCTTTGGTGATTGGCCAGGATCAGGGGTTACATCTTATCAGGGTGCTATATATAGCGGCGGCACAATTACATACACTGTGCAACCTAGGTAACAGGTATGTAAAAATTCCATTCGCCCTTCTTGTTCTGAAACAGCTGTCTCCTCGCCAGAGCAGACGGCACGCCACCCGGGTTAGCTCACCAGTTAGCACCGAATATGACCAGAAAAGAAAGGAGCTTGAAGTGGGGGTTGGACGAAACAGCGGAAACCTCGTATTCTCAACAGAAAGCGACGTCACCATGACCACAGTATGGGTTTCGACTCAGCCTACGCAGCGCCAAGACAACCTCGATCGTACGAAAGTATGGTTAGTGCATAGGTAGTTACAACGAACAATTCTGACAACTTATCTACGGGGACTCTGTTATTTAAAACCTATAAGCCTTTATCAAGACTATAGGTAATACAAAATAATTTATACTTAGAGGCTAGTTAGTATATGACTTAATACGTACCGAGGGGTTTTTGTATGCAAAGATGAAATCCTTTGCCTCAAGTCAAGCTCGATAAATGAATCTAGTGTACTTGGTCGCCTCCTTACATCGTACAGTGTGTCAGATAGGGTTTCGCTACAGTATGTCTCCACCAGTTTTCGAGGATTAAGCCATCAGCCACGATATCTTACATTAGGGTACATACACTACATAACTAACGTACATAATACTATCGGCGCTCTCAGCACTGGGCAGAAAGGCGTCAAACCACATCCATTGAATAAAGAACAAATCATAACGAACCTGTTTTTGCTTTCCTTGTTTCCACAGCATCCGGTAAATCGGTACACGTCAAAGCCACGCTATGTATCCAGGGATCATATACGAACTTGTGTACTTTGGATAGGCTACTTGCTTTCAGTCTTTGGGTTTTGGGTCTTCACCTCTCTCTCGGAAATATCGTTGACCCCTTCTGCCAGCTTTGCTTCTTTTTTTGTGCAACTCTAGAACCCCGTGGAGCTGCATATCGAGTACCGTATTTTTTGCAGTAGTCGTCGCCCCAAAAATCTTGCCGCCCACTGCCCAAGCGTTTTTCTGCAATAGTCTGCATTAGCTCTCTCGCTTCTCGGAAACTAATCCAGTCGGCTTACCATAAAACGGTCGTACCAATCAACAACATCATTCTTTTTCCAATATGACTTCTCTCTCCGAAAAGGGTCTCCTAGGTGAACAGCAGGCAACGTATACACCAACCCAACCTAAACGCTGTATTCGATATCGTGTGGTGGAAAAGATGCCTTCCCCCCGCCACTTCTTCCTCACTCTATTCCTGGGCCTGCTTGCCACGGCCGGCTCAGCCAGTGCCGTCTTGCACCAAAAGCCTTCCGGCGAGGAAAAGGTCGAAAGTGAGATTGAGCATGTTGTTCTCCGTGATGACTCGACTTTCTCGCGGTTGTTGAGCTCGGCTTCGCCCCGTGCTATCCACGAGTTTCTCCATGCTTACTTCCCTGTCACCTATAAGCATGGCGTCTATGACTCTGACCACTCGGCCATGGAGGCAATCCACGCGAGTGACCCGGAATTGGCGACATCTATCGTCCAGCTCGCGAAGAGACAATCTGGAAACGAGACGATCACCACGACTGCTACGTCCGTGGAGTCTAGCTCTGCAGCCCCTACGAGTGAAAGTGGAAGCACTACAACGGAAGAGCAACCCTCTACGTCCACCTCTGTAGATACGCCTACGACGACGACTTCGGATTCGACTACGGAGTCGACTGCGGAGTCGACCTCGGATGTGGCAACGACTACTACATCCGACGTGCCCACATCAACAACAGCAGCAGCAGCAACTACATCAACTACCGATGAGCCAACAACAGCATCATCACCCACCTCGGAGTCTTCTGCTGAGACGACAAGCACTCCTGGTATGTTTACTAATTCCTAGAGTCCGTTATAAACGTGAGTATGTTGGACTAACCGGTGTATAGACACGACCTTGACAACAGCAACAAGCGCACCTACTCCCAGCACTACAAAGCCACCTAGGACATCTACCTTCACATCGACGCTTCCTGGAGGCGCTAAGGTATGTCTTACTTCTTACCCGTCCTACTCCTACTTTCACCTTTGATATACCACTAGCGATGTAGCAACATACGCCTAGGTTATATCTTAAGCGTCAAGTAGTCTTGTAGTCATTTCCAAAGAGAGCAAACCACTAACCCGTTAACTCTATAGACAACAATCACATCCGTTGAGGTGGTTACTCCAGGTGCACCCGAAGAAGCAAGTCAGACCTCAGAAGCCGAGGGAAGCCTCCAATCCGGCCCTGCCATGCTGCCTGCCAGGCGGCCAGTAGTAGAAGTCATCATCGGCGCCGTTGTCGGCGGAGTACTCCTCGCATAAGCTCCATCGTGATCGTGATCCGGATCATCACACTCCTTCCTTTCATCTCATCTTGAAATTTGGCGTTAGCAACAGCATCACTATCATCATTATCATCATCTAAGCGAAGCATATTTAGTATCGGCGCCGGCATCTGCATACACGGAAACTTGACGGCATCTACATTCATTTAGAACTAGGAGGCAAAGGGAAAAAAGAGAAACATTTGGCATAGAAAAAGGGTCGGAAAGGGTCGGCTCAGAGCTCGCAAAGTCTGGCAGCTGTTGACGAATATTACGAGATTGTCTACAGATTAATTCATTAATTTTGGGATCTTTGAATCTTCATTTGGGATACGCAAACATGTATGTAATTATGTACGTAGTTATGTATTGTATGTACACAGAAGGTCAAAAGAGGATATCTAATAATCCGACTCCTAATAGAGATATTCTACACAATAATAGTAGCAGTCATTTCGTGAAGTCATTCTGTGAATATTAAATCAAGTACTGGGTAAACTAATGGCGAGGCTCGGGCAATGTTATTAAGTCAGGTAGATAAACCTCAGTAGACGGTCTGAAAGGTATAGTTTATCCTGGGCCGATCTTAGGCATGTCGTGGTGCTCGCTAAGCTTGGAGAGATAGGTATTCAAGCCTTCTACTCTCTCTTTGTGCGTCTTTCGAAACTCGGAAGCTACTTTTGGATCTTCGAGCATCTTCAACATCTAGTGACGAAATCAATATTAGTATTAAGTCGTCGCTTATCGTTTGTTGTAGATGTGAACAGAACATACCTTTTTTCTATTAGCTTCCTCGTACCGGCGCTCGGCCTCGGTCTTCTGTTCGGCTACGTCACCCTCGCCGCCGTCATCCGCATCTTTGCTATCGCGCTGTCGGGGGTCCTCGACATCCTTGGGCTTAGAGGCAGAGGCAGAGGCAGAGGTAGAGCTATCTCCCGGAGTGAGGGATCTCTCGAAGTTTGCAGCCTTGGTCTTCTTCTTTTTCTTATTCTTCTGTATCTTCCCACCTTTCAGCTTGAGGGCGCCAGCTCCGGCTGCCGACACGTAGTCATCTGCTGGCATTTTTTGGTATGTATAGATGTAAGTTTATGTTAGAGATATCGATTGGTTTGGTTGATGCAGAATGAGGCGCGATACAACCCCCCACATATTTTGATGCGTAAGATGTCTTCTTTAATCTATATACTCGTTATCAAATTGTAATCGAGATAATTGGATACATTATGATACTAAACCTAAAGATTCATATACAGAGGTAACGCTACTAATTGGCCCCACCTAGATACCCCAATAAATAAAAACTTCGCAGTCCGAAAATTTGCTTTCGTTTCTTCTCTTTTTCTTCTTTAGATCAAAAAGTATTCACAGAGTAGCCACGACCGTCATTTCGATATTCACAGTGACGAGTTGCCATTCTCAACCTTGAGAAGTCACTCTGGAGATTAAACTCCTTATTAGGAAGTCTCCCGAACGTCTTCGGACTGTGTGCGGGAGATGTCGAAAAAACGAGGGAACATGCACTTGATTGCATTCCGGACTTGCGTGCCAATCACGACGTAGATAAGCATTAAGCATTGAGTATTGAGTTGATCATTTGTGTATTGAGCGCCTCGATTCTTGCCGTTGACTTTATATGTAGGTGATGTAGAATGAGCGACTCAGGCGAGCATATCAAGTCTCAGCCGAATGTCTCAATATCGCTTATCCATCTGCCAAGTTCCCGTTAGCCACGGCTATGATCGAGTAGAGAGGAATGCCTTACAATTCCAAGCCATTCTTCCACCTGTAGATCAGTCTTAAAATAGTGATTACAATCTTGTTGTGGTTTTATTCACAAAATATGCCTACTACTCAACCCGCGTGTAAGTTCGCGATGCTGGCTACGGCTACTGCTTATAAAAATGTCCAAGTATCCTGTCTATCTAGAAGTCTTTTGGAAGCATCATCAGCATCATCAGTCATTCATTCACTACAGTCACTCTTTACGACTCACTCACAGTCATTCATTACTTGCCATCTTGGCTACCACGTTCATTTCACACCAACTACAACACACTCGTTCATCTAAACAACAGCCAAATAATCACAACTCACCGCCAAGATGCATTACTTCAACGTTACCAACACTGCCAAATTCCTGTCTTGCACTTCGACTGCATTGACCCCCGTCCTAACTCCAGTCACCAAGACCACTCTGTCCCCTGTGACCCAAACCCGCTACACGACTGTCTACGAGACTGTCATGCCGGCAGCTTGCGAAACAGGCCAGTGGATGGCTACTTATACAGTCACCGAGACTTGCACTGGCAAGCCTAGCGACTATGTTCCTTCGGTTATCCCTCCGGGATTCGTCGTAACTACTGTGTCTTGCCCCGTCTGCCACCCTGCTACGGCCATCGAGATCACTTGCCCGGGTGTTCAGCCCACTGGGTATCCCACCGTCGGCATTACTGGAAACGGTGTTACTGCTACCATCACCGCTACGCCGGCTGGTTACCCTGTGGGTAACTCGGGTCCTTACCCAACCAAAGTTCCCTCTCGTCCTATCCCTGCTCATCCCATACCCGCTGGCCCTGGATCATGCTCTGGTCCTGGGCCTTGCCCTGGCACCGGTCCCAAGCCGACCCCAGTCCCATGTGCTGGCCCCGAATGCCCAGACTTCAACCCCATGCCATGCTCCGGACCCGGGTGTCCTCACCCAGGCTCAGAATATACTCCTAGCGGTAACCCCAGCTCTCCTCCATGCCACGGTCCCGAATGCCCAAGCACTGGCTCCGGCCCCGTTCTTTGCTCTGGCCCTGGATGCCCTGCTCCGGCAGGCCCAGGCTCCATGTCATGTTCTGGCCCCGGCCCGTGCCCCGGCACTGGTCCCAAGCCAGTCCCTGTTCCTTGTGCCGGCCCCAGCTGCCCCGGCTCAGGTAACAACGGCACCACTAGCACTCCTCCCTACGTCGTCTCCGGCGCATCGTCGCTCAAGAACGCTTTCGCTGTCGTCACAGGGCTTGTTTTCGTGGCCGGACATTTCATCCTCTTGTAATTCATTCATGTTGTTCTATCATCTGTGGACACTGGGGTAAAATTTGAGCTTATATTTCTTGGATATGGTCTATGGGTTATGGTTTACGGCTCAGGTGTTTCTTCATCTGCTGTTATTTTTGGGTTCGTTATATAATTTCAGGGGGGTTCAGGGTGAATCTAGGGCTTTGTGACAATTACTGGTTTCGTTTGGTTTATTCGGTGTTTCTAGTGATTCATTAAATTCATTATATTTGAACCGTTCTTGACAATCCTTTGTTTGTGGTTGCCATTCTAGTGAATCGGATGTGCTAGTAATATACTCGGCAATCTTGTTCGTTCGATGGACCTCGCTTTCCCCTTGGATAATTCATGTCAGTAGCCTCTGCAATCGGATTTTAACTTATAACTGGCCTTCCAGGATAATAGAAACGCAAGTGATTTCTATAATAGTTTGAAGGGTGTTTATTGGGTTTGCGGAGGTGATCTGTGGAGTTTGTCTATCCACGACTCAAACTATCTCTTTGTGTTAGCCACCTTAGCCTAAGTGTACCTAGTGTCGAGAGCATTGACTTGGTAGGTTCTTCAGATTCAAACAAAGCGTCTGATTGCTCACCTATTATAGCTATCTTAATTATACCAGATACCAGTTACGCAGACGTGGCACGCAATACGGGTCTCAAGCTCCTAACCTTCGTTTCCTATATAACCATGCGCTGGCTTGCATTGGAATTATCAAAATTCATAAAAAATGCAAATGTGCCTAAACATGTCAATTCTAGACCATTTACTTCTAACAATGGATAACCTAAACGATCTTTTGGAAGATCACATCTGCCGGAGAAACCGAGTGTTCTACGCCTTCGGTATTAGCGTGGGGGACTACGAAAATAGCACTTCACGAGCGTGGACGGTCGTATCACTCTACATACACGGTACAGTAGATACAGCTGGTGCCGCTCAAGCGCTCAGAAATCTCGAGTCTGATATCAATAGAAAGCTCCGGCTAGACCAGCGACCAGAAAGACTGGAGTTCTACCTCGAGGACGACTCTCCTAGCAACGCCTACCGGGCGAGATCTCGCAGGGTAGAGGGCACGCTCTGCGCGAGAAATGCTGCTTGGCAGATGGGAGTGGTGGAGCTTACGGACGGTGAAAGGACGCATCCGGGAACACCTCGACAGGATACAGTAGAAGCGACGAGGCACGTTGTCGAAGTTGAGCTGTAGAAGCCAGAGGGGCTGGAAGTGAGAGGTTGGAGGTGAGCGATTGACAATTAACGATTAGTGGTATATACATAGGCGTAGGTATTCAATTATCTGTTAGCCGCCTACTCTATTAGGAAGGCCGTCTACTAGCACGTGCGATATTTAGTTCCTTCCAATTGCTCGGGTTGTACGGTGGTGATAAGAGGCGTTCGTAGTGTCATCGTGGTGTACCTAATCTCGGTGAATTCCGTAACGTAGTAGTGCATCTATAACTTGCATCCTCCCCCTGCATTTACTACACTATCAACTACACTATCAGGTACTTATGCATGCATGCATGTAAGTAAGCCGGCAAGCGTAATCCGAATTATATTTAGGTAAATCCCCATGTCTTACCCGACTCTTCGGGATATAAGATCTTGCTTGACTGTTCTATTCTTGATAGCCAAGAAAGAATTCGACACATCCTTTAATAGTTGCACTGCCGACTTTCCAAGATGCGTCCCGTCAATTCGGCCGCTGTACTAGGGGTCCTGGGTATCATCCGTAATGCTGCGGCATGCTCCGGTTGTTCGGGCGAGGTCGTCGAGCACGTCCGACATGTGAAGCGTATGCAGCCCGATGCGATAAATGCTACATACGGACCTACGAGGGCTTTGGAGGTGAGTATTTTGCTTATAGTAGAAACAATTAGAAACAAAAACGTACAATGCTAATTCGAGATGCTCTAGTGGGGTCAACTAAACTTCCTACATACCGTGAGTGCATCTTGGATGTCTAATAAGCTAGAAAGCAACATTGCTAATAGTCAACGTGTAAGACCGATACCCACGGATGGTTAGAGGTACATAACATTTTCAACTCCCTGGAATCCCCTGATATCGGCTAACGCTTTAACAGGGTCATCTTAAAGAAGCCAACTATGGCGCCGATTGGGGCGACTTCGTCTCCTTCTCGGCTCGTTTCAAGCATCAAGCCGGCGACATGGGTGTTGATCTACTTCTAGTAGACACCGGTCAGTTAGCCTTAACGTCTTGTTGACCCGTAGTATGCTTATATAGCGTCTAGGTGATCTACATGATGGCGCCGGGTTGAGTGACGCTACTACGCCGGACGGCGAGGTTTCGATGAAGATATTCGACAAGGTCCAGTATGACCTGCTAACTATTGGTAACCACGAGTTATATCTTGCCGACGTTGCCTACCAGGCTCTGGATGAGATATCGACGTATTGGGGCGAGAAGTATCTCACCTCCAATGTTCAGATACTCAACCGGCAGACGAAGGAGTGGCAGTATATCGGCAACACGCACCGATACTTCACTACGAAGCATGGACTTCGAATCATGGCCTTTGGCGTGTTATTCGACTTTACTAGTGAGAAGGCACCACGATGATACGTGCCCCAGCTGTCGCGAAACATGATCCTAACATCCAGCAGGTAACACCAATGTCTCTAAAGTTATCCCTGCGAAGACCATGGTTACACAGAAATGGTTTCTGGATGCCCTTCGTTGTCCAGAGCCCGTGGATATCTTCATCGTTCTAGGCCACAACCCTGCCCGACCGACTGATAAAGCGAGCACTTTTCCTATCGTCTTTGACGCGATTCGCGCAGTGCACCCGGATACCCCTATTCAGTTTATAGGTTCGTATCGTATCCAAGGAGAGGTAGATTCGTGGCTAACAGCATATAGGAGGCCATAGTCATATTCGGGATTTTGCTGTCTTTGATAGTAGTAGCACAGCGCTTGAGTCAGGTAGGTGAAGCATGCCTATTCTTGACCAAACTCTCATACCTCTCATAGGCCGATATTGCGAAACACTCGGTTGGCTCTCCATGTCAGGATTCAACGGTAAAAATAGTGGCCCTGTCGGTGTCCCTAACCCAATTCGCAAAGCAACGCAGAATTCTGCTTCTCCGTTCGTATATTCCCGTCGCTACCTTGATTGGAATCGTCGAACCTTTGAGTACCATGCTACGACATTGCATAATAAAAACCTTGACTATCATGGCGGCTTGGCCGTTACAGAGGATATTACGAAGGACAGGAAGCAGCTTAACCTTACCGATGTGTATGGGTGTGTTCCTCAGGTCAGTCGCCATCGATCCTCGCCCCCCTGACACCTAATGCTAGAGACTACTTGTCCTCGTGAGCTGTGAATGCAAAATAGTTGGTCCCTATTTGTGCGTAGGATTATATGATACGCATGCCGGCTAACTTCCACGCATTATTAGGACTATTGCATGACGTGCACACCATTCAATGCCTCGGGTAATATCTTTCCTCTGCTGTCTGATGCGTTAGCCGGTGGTGTTGTGAACGAATCGCGTAAAGATATACCACGATATATCATTGCCAACACGGGAAGCGTTCGGTTCGACATGTACAAGGGACCTTTCACCTATGACGACCAGTTCATCGTGTCGCCATTCCGTGATATTTTCTTGTACATCCCAGAAGTGCCCTACACCCTGGCCAGAAATTTAACCGAGTCACTCAACAATGCTGGTGCCAGTCGGAAGCGTAATGTTGGTGTTGTGCCTGTTGAACGCGACATCTGCGTCGACCCTGTCCCTGTTGACTTCACCGAACTTAGGAGCGAAGAGCGTCGTGCGTTCAATCACGAATCTCCCAGGATTACGAGGCGTCAAGTTGTCGATTTGACCGCCGGCTATACGACCAAGGATGACTTCGGCACCGATGGCGACGACACTGCGCATTCCGAAATTCCGCACTGCGAAATCCCCGATTTTTTCCAAGGCGTAGCTGGATTTAGTGACAATCAAACGGTAGATGTTGTTGATGTCGTGTTTGTTGATTTGTAAGTTTCCACACACAGTGATATGATCTGTGTTTAAAGGTTTAGTTTAGACTGACTCCTGCTGCGCAGCATCGAGAGTGATCTTCTTGCTATCCTCGGCTCCAACTATAGCTCTGGCGATGTCTCGTACTACATCGATGCGAACTTCACGACGCAAGACTACTTGTCGTTGTATATCCAGCAGACGAAGGCTTTCCAAGCCGGGCTGCCTAATTGTGGGTAATTGATAAGGATTACTTCAGCAGTTAACGACGTCTATCTTAATACGATGCTGTTTAATTGATACACCTGAAGTAGAAATGATGTTGATTGTGTAAAATTCTCCAATACTGGGCAAAACTCGGTAATTCCCTAATATGCCACTGTGTAGTTCCGTAACACCTTCTCGCAGCATTAAAGGTAGTTGTACTTACCTAACAAGCTACATGTAATTAGGGGTAGTAGTTTACCAAAAATGCAACATGGTATACACGCCATGTACGTCAATTTCCTTAGCTTGAGCTTAAATCCGCGCTATTAATAGCTAATGGACCCCTCCTACCCCACGATAAATAACTCCAGGAGGTATTTACATTTACATTATCTATATTTTATCTCCCCATCGCCTTTTTAACCCACCATCCCGTACCATCTCATCGCACCCGCGGGAATGGCCCCGATTCCCATAACTATCATAACCGGCTTCCTGGGGTCGGGCAAGACAACCCTCCTGCTGAACCTAATCCCCCAGCTCCGCACCGCCAACCCCACCTACCGCCTCGCCCTACTAAAAAACGAATTCGGCGACGTAGCCATCGACTCGCAGCTAGCATCCTCGAGCGCCGTCTCCGGCGTCCAGGAGTTGTTGAACGGGTGTATTTGCTGCAACCTCGTCGGACAATTAAGCACCGCGCTCGCCGAGCTGCGCGACACAGTCCACCCCGACCGCATCGTCATCGAGACTTCCGGGTCGGCGTTCCCAGCTACGCTTGCTATTGAGGTGAATCGGCTGGCGCGCGAGACGGGGGGTCAGTATGTGCTTGATGGCGTGGTTAGCGTGATTGATGTTGAGAATTGGGGCGGGTACGAGGATACTAGTTATACGGCGCGCATACAGGCGCGGTATACAGATCTGATTGTCTTTAATAAGTGGGAGACGTGCGATGAGCGCAGGTTTGACGAGTGTCGCGATCGGGTGGGTGATCTTGAGGTCGATGTTGCGTGGGTGAAGAGCGATAAGGGTCGGGTTCCTGTTGATGTCATATTTGGTATTGATGGTGGATTGGCGAAGACATTGACAGAAGAACCAGCAGCGAAGGGTGGCGATCATTCACATAATCACGACGAAGACCACGACGATGGCCATAGTCACCAATGTGAGGTTGAGGTCTTGTCAGTCACACTCTCCGGGAAGACAGGCAGCGCCGTCAATGCGACAAAGCTAATGGCTCTATTAAACTCGGCGCCCAAGGACGAAGTATATCGGATCAAATCTGTATTAACAGCATCCTCGACAGTTCGGAGCTCCGGTGAAGACGAGCCGGCGGCATCGACAACACCGTCGGATCATCTGGGCAGGTACATTTTGAACTGGGCCTTTGGGAGGTGGACATTTACAGCGCTCGAGCCGGAGACGGTTGAGCACAGCTCCAGCTACCAGACTGTACTACGTATGACAGTAATCTTAGCAAGATACGAGAGCGCGAAGTGGAAGAAGAAATTAGAGACAGGCGGAGTTTTAGAGCTCGAGGGTGACGAAAAAGGCGAGTTAGAAATTATTAGAATCTCTTGAGACCTAACAGTCTTGCTCTTCTAATAATTAGACTTAAAGTAGACTATAGTAAGATAATTAATACACGGCCAATGCATCATAGGACATACTACCCACGCTGCTACGAGGTTGGAAAGGTATAATCTAAGAATGTGCCTGTAATCTGGCACTTATATAATCGCGGCCAGCCTCCTATATAGAATGAACACTACGTATGTAGCTAACAATTCTCGGTATCATAACAGCATTACCCCTATTTCATAATACCACATAAGTGACAACCCGCTTCGCTCGTCGCCTCCCCGCTGTGCCGACTTAACTACCAGCTCCGGAATCTTGATATCTGCTACTTAAAAGCTCAATTGTGTACACACTTTGCCGACACCGAGATTGGCAAACAGCTATTGTCCATCCAGGTGACTTCGGAAAAAGTTGGGGGGTTTTTTTTCATTTTGTTTGCTGATCAATTTTCAACTTAACGCCACAAGTCTCGGTCTCCCTTCTTCTTCCCGTGGCTACTGCCGGGCCGAGGCCATGCGTCGTCTCTGAGGCTGCTCGAGCTTGCAGTACTTCCATTACGTGCATGACCGCGTGGCACAGACAGATAGCTTGTAGGGCTGGTTGCCTGAGAAAGCGAGCCCTTTCGAGATCCACCGGCTTGCCACCCAGAACCTATATCCGCCAAGCCGTAGCTACTCAGGGGCCGGCCACCGAGGGAGCCATTGCTGCGGTGGCCCCTGTGTCCACTTCCCCCACCGCTATAGGCATCGAAGGGGTCCACTGAAAGCAAATAGTTAGCGTTTGCAAATTATGGAAGCATTCTTGTGACGATGAGGTTTAAACAGCATTAACTTGTAGGAAGGGCTAGGATCGCTAATTCGCGATTTGAGGGGATTCATGAAATCAATCATGTATACTTACTTCTAATACTTCCCCAATCAAGGTCATCTTCTCCTTTCGTAAAAACTTCTAGTGATTGATTGAGCTGCTGCGCCCTAAACTGTGATGGGTTGAGTGCTGCGGCAAAGGGGTTATTGGAGCTGAAGCGTGGCGGTATGTTTCCAAAACCTCCTGTTAGTCCCGGCGAGGGGAGGCCATTTCCCACGTTGAACATATTGGCGCTGCTTGAGCTGCTAGGACGCTGTTGTCCTCCCGCGAAGCCGGGCATGGGCGGTGGAAGGCCAAGGAGGAGATCTGCAAAGTTTTGATCGCGAACGTACACGGCGGAGAGACGTGGTAGCCCTCCGGCGAAAAGGGAGGAAGCTAGGTAGTTATAATAACCGGTCGTGACACCCACGTAGGAAGGGGTAGCTGACGACGCCGTAATCTCGTAGCGCAGGGTTTGTAAGGACCAATTGACTAGGGGAGGGATAGGCCCGGAGTGAGATGGAAACGCTGAATCTACCTGATCAATAACAGAGAGCGCCGTCAGGTTTGGAGCAAGCGCTAGCACGGCGTGAAGGCTAGGGGCTTGAACACCGGTGTTGGATAGAGACAGCACCTTTAGTCGCCTTTGTGTGTCCCCCCTAGACAAATAAGCCACAAGGCCGTCGGAAGTGACTCTCGGTGTATCTATCAAGATCACTTCTTCCAAAGCTGGAAAGGCCGGTAGCACATCGTTGTACTTAAACATGTCGTCATCTATAATCCTGCAATCAGACACCTTTAGAGCCCGCAGGTGCTGAAGCACCGTCAGTACGTGGCGCAACGCTGCCGGATCCATGTTTATCCTAGTCAACTCCAATACTTCGAGGTTCTGCCAGAAGGCACCTGTGCTCAGCGCCTCCAAACTTCGCTCACTACCACCAGTGTAGGCCATCTTCCTGAGGTCAGGACAGCGGGCCTGTACCTCGAGCTTGAGAGTATGGTAAGCCGGATCGTCGCAATACAACCCCTCGGGCAAGTCGACGTAGCGGAGGTTGGGCAAGACAGCAATGGTCCTTGCTAACGTGGAGCTACTCGATTCTCGTAGCATATAGGGCGTCTTGAAATATTGAACGAGCTTACCAAGGCGGGTTGGGTCTTCGCGCAGGGAGCGGCACAGCAATTGAAGCCGAGCACTGGCGGTATCCTCGGGGAGGCCATTGCGATCGAAGCGACTCCTACGTTTCCGCTTCTCGGAGAGGTCGATCTCACGTTCGCAGTAATGCACGGAATCGATACGGATACTATGGTACCTACCACAGCGGAAGCCCACAGGTTTCAGTAACGATCTTATCCAAACTCATCTTCTTAGTTGCCAAAAGCATTTTACCTAGGGAGAACTTACATTGACTTGACGGCCGCTACCCTCCAGCGCTTGCATACTTGGCCAGCGTGGGAGAGATCACGCAGGTCACAGAGCATGCAGGCATCTTCCAAGGCGCTTTGTTCGCATGTCTCATACGACTCATCGCAGCAATGCGGACAGACGAAGAAGAATACCCTCTCCAATATAGGAGGGGGCAGCTCTAGCCATGGCGCGAATACGCGACCCCTCTGAGGGTCTAGGCTGGCACGATTATTCTGGTAATTATTCTGGCGGGTGTTGTATAAGTCGTACTCATCTCTCCTATAGTCGTCACGAGTAGGGATGTCAAGTGGCTGAAGCTGTTGCGACGGCTTCTTGCTACGTCGAAAGAACTTCTTGAACTTCATCGCGAAGCTAGGCCAGGGTTAAATGATATAAATGTTCGCAAGGAAAAGCCTCGCTGCTTGATTTTGTTAGAGTTTAATTAATAAGACACCTAAAGACATACATACGTCTGGTTCACATACTCGGACCACATGTGTTCCTCCTGCGGGAAGACTACTTGCGTGCATTGGACGGTTGTAGGAAAAGAGGACGTACACGGCAACGGCAACGGTTGGCTTACAATGAATGCATCTCGAGGCTCGCGACGCTTTGTTTAAAAGCGAAAGAGTGGGGAATTAAAAAGGGCGGCGTTAATTGTGTAGGTTGCTGGGATATGGGTACCTCAGATACTTCAGGTACCTGCATCTGAAGATACATATTCAACTATCCGACATTCTCTATCTCAAATGATCTGCCTAAGATATATGTACTTTGACAGATACCTGCATGTAGGTACCTGGGTGTCGGACCCACCAGTATAGTGGTGGTACTTCATTCCTCCATAAATTTATGAATACCCGCCTGTACCTAAGCATACATACATAGTACATATGTAGGTAGAGGTACCTATACACGCAGGCCTATACATTTATACCTAAGCACCTAATGCATACATAAACACATCTACATAACCCCATCCCATCAATATTAAAACAGAAGAAAAAAAAGGCAAACTCAAGAGAAACTTCAAACGTTAAAAATAGTGTTACATTATATAAACAGGGATAATATAGAATTTTTACTAACTGCCAGCTAATGCGGTGCTATGCAATCACTATAAAACAATATCCAATGGTTACCTTCTGTTGCCGGGTCCTCCAACCAAAGGATGTATACATATGCACCCGCCAATGATCTTCCCTCCCGCTACACCGACCGCAGCCCAACCACAACCTAATACCTCATATCAGTTTGTCAAAATCTCTCGGAAACGCGCGGTTCTTATCCCCGGTATCTAATCCTCGCCAATATCTAGTGGTTCCCGTTGAGCTGGAGAGGCGATGCTGATCCAGAGATGTTCGACTTCTTCGTTCGGAGCGTCAATGGGAACGGGTACTCTTCTGGGTCTTCCTCCTCTCTGTATTATCACTGGTTAGCTACAATATTTCAGCTCGCATGTTCTTGGTTTGCTTACGGTAATTTCCATGCCACATAGTCTTCTGTACTTAAGCCTTCCCTTCCTTCTTGCAGGCTCGCGAAATCACCAGGCGTCATCATGCCCGTACGGTCCCGGGGAGAGCCGGGGACCGAGAAGGGTCGTGAGATCTTCTGTTCAACTCCAGGGATGAAGTCATCCTCGTCGTCACCGGAAAATGATCCTGGGTACGCTCGTCGCAGGGCTAACTGCCGGGCTTTGACATATTCCATTCCCATCCTCTTCCAATCTAGGAGGTCGCTAAGTCTCTCAGTTCGGTTGCGCTGGTTAATCCGCTGTCGCCGACTTTTTTGGCAGAAATCGAACATGTGCGAGGCAAGCTGGTTAACCGAGTCGTCGACACCTTTGTTGCGTCGGTCCACAATGTAGATACCATAGTCGGCTGAGTTCTCAATCAACTCCTCCATATAGCAGCCAAAGCCAGATAGGTTAGTGGTGATACTGGGAACACCCATAACAGTACACTCGGCAGGAGTATAGCCCCACGGTTCGTAGTAGGAAGCGAAAACACCCAGATTCGTGCCGCGCACGAAGTCATCGTAATCTAGAGGCAGGATCGGATTCGACGAATTTAGGAACTCGGGATGGAAAATAATCTTAACGCGATCCGTCGGATGGTTAAAAAGATGGACCCGTCGAATCTGATTTAGAATAGGGTCTTCTGAATCGTTGACCATATTGTGTGTGACGATGGGTGGTAGGCCGTGCCGTTTCATAGCAAAGAGACGGCGTCGGAGGACAACTCTGTCGGCGCTGGTGATAAGCTCCTTCTCATCAGGCATCGGATCTCCGTCATGCCACCTTAAAGACCGTTCGAAAACACGACGACCGATCCCGCGCTCGATCACATCGACCGTGTCGCGAAGGGACTTGATGACTGCCTGACCCTTCAGTGCTTCTACTGTCAGCGAGGTAGTTTGCGCAGGCATGATTATAAATGCTACGACAGTTGTCTTGCTACCGGAGGACTTTAGTCGGTGGTTAAGACGCGCAAGCGACTCAATGAACATGTCGACACCCTTATTTCGGAACTCATAACGTCCGGCAGTGAAGAAATAGAGGGTATCTTCCGGCATGAAGTCATAGTGACCATAGAAGTGACCCCGGACGAAGTCGTGGATCTTCTCCTTGGACTGTTGGTGCAAGTTCTGAAACTCATGTATGGCCGAGAATTTGGTGACGTTAAGTCCGTTGGGCAACACACCATCCGGCTTACGTTTGAGCAAGTGTTCGCTTTCAAAAGCCGTGATGTGTGAGACAGTGGTAAAGACGTCGCAGGAATGTGCAGCAGCGCGTTCTATGCAGTAACGGTGATAGATACCACGCTTCCCGGCTTCCGCATCTACGTCAAACCACTGTAGATTATTATAAAAATCGACAGAACCAGCACAAAGATAACGGCCTAGTAGAGTTGCATGTGTAGTGAAGACGGTGGTGACATCTATGCGCCGCTTCTTAGTTAGCGGCAATGCAACACCAGCAAGCCATTCGTGAAAGTGGGCAATGACGGCTTTGGTCTTCTCATGACAAACAAACTACATGGGAAGAAAAAATAGTCAGCCAGTCAGGTCCTAAGCCGTACGCGCGAGAAAAACCTACCTCTCCTAGAAACCAGGCGACTAAATATCCAAAGACAATAGCCTCATTAGTCTCATCGTCGCCTGGTGGAGCCGGAATACTGGCAACATTCCACAAGTCCGCTTTCCACTCATCCAAATATCTATATGCCGTCTTGGTGTCGATTAACAGTACTCTAGGAGCTCCTTCAATGAGCCATCGTCCATAAAGTATGCCAATGCCCCGGTTTTTCATGGCGTCGATACTGGCAGCGAGTTCTGGCGTGTTTGGCTCTAGCTCTTCAACCTCGACAGCAGCCTAGTTTTGGTCAGAGGAGTGTGTCAAGAGCTACGTTTAGAAAAAGAAAGGCAACGTACTGATTGGTGGTTGAGAGGGCCGATAAGTGTATATCGGTCGCCATACTCGGCAGTGGTAACGGGCGCTTTAGACTTAATGACAGAGTATATACCACCAACTGAGTTTAATGTTAGTTTGGAGATTATAGAAGCTTACGGCGGTGTTTCTAAGACATACCGCGATGAGCTACCTCGGTCGCGATCTCGAAGAGTATGTGATTCTTCACTTCGCGGGTAGCTTTCTCCCCGCTTTCAGCCATTGTGATGGTTGGCGTAGTAGATTCGAAGGTACAAGGAACAACGAGGTGGAACAACGAGGTGTTACCAAAAGGAATATAAGGGAACCCTATAAACTATATTTAACAAATTTGACGTAGTTAGCTTTAGGTATGAAATAATAAATAACAAGCCTCCCTCACTCCTAGCGCAAATAGATCGGGTCGAGATAGCTCTTACCTAAAGTACACAAACAAATCTCGAGACAAACCTCAAGCTAATAGCTAATAGCTTAGAGACCTCGCGGTGTTACGAGATTCGATAGGATGGACTGATACGGATGAGGAGAAAAAGATGAATAAAACTTAAGAGGGGGGAGCAAAGGGAAAAAAGATGTTATTCGAATTCCGAGGTGGAGATTGGGAAGATGGAACGGGGACCAGAACTTCCATGCATGGTCTCAATGAAGAATTCATAGAGGCGCTTTTTGTAGTTTGGCATCATTGCGTACACTGGGCAACAAGGAATTTACCTACTATGTACTGGCTTAGGGTACCTTCCTACCTTAACAAGGTTAGACTTGATTTTTTTCTCGATCGCATGACATCCTTACCTATAAGATTAAGCAGCTTTTAGTGAATTTTAGGATACCTACCTACCTACATGTAGGTATTAGTCTAAGTAGGTAGGTACCTTTAGTCTAAGTGGCAATTATGTACCTCTCTCCATCGCTACTCCATAGACCCACAATCCCGCAAGCCTTGCCATCATAACTCCGCGCAACTCCAAGTTTCCCCCAGAGAGAAAATAACGAAATAGTAATAGATCTAAACAAAGCCTTGCCGCTAAATATGCGGGAACCGAGCCTATGACGCCAGAAACCGTTATTGCATCTTGATAGCCTAAGCAGCTCAAGCAGCTTTTACGGTATGCTTAAGGTAATGTAGTATTAGGTATTAGGTATTAAGTATGTACATATGTAGTTGGGAGTTTAGGTATTACCTACATATTAGGCATACATTTGCAAGTTGTTGGGTTCGTTGTTGTTCATGTATGTAATATCTCGAGTTGCTAGAGCGGCAGCTATTTAAGTCGTGCTCGAAACGTTCCATCAATAAATTATAGTTAGTATATATGTACATACATGCTGCGCAGTCTCATGTACAGGGATGCGAAGAAGAAAAAAAGGCGAGATCCCTACCTAGACAAACTAGGTCTAATTGCTAGTTATTCCAAGTATGCAGACCTATCCCGCAACGAGACAATAGCGCCGCGATCCTCCCCTATTCTATACGTAAACATGGGCCGATGATCCACTACAAATCTCTCTTCTTCTAGCAAGACTGGGAATTTGGGATTTGGATGTCTTTATTATCTGTTGTTTGGGGTATATAATACCGATCTAGTTATATGATTTAGTTAGAAACTTTAAAAACTGGTGGACGCATGATGTGGGGCTGGGAGCTCGCCACAGGATTGATAAGAAAAGGCATGATGCGCGTGCGTCGATGGGTGGATATCAAGTTCTCGCCGAAGGCTTCCCCTCTATTGCTTCTCTCCACAGCTTTGAGGTGTCAAAATAGCAGATACGCTACATGCAGATAAACTTATGTGTGTATTGTATCTCTCCTGTTTTAAATATTTTAAATAGGTTGTACTATACTATTAGCATCTTTGCTTTAATCAATACATGTAGTTTGTGGATGGAGAGAAACTATATTGCTTAGTCAGTATGACGAAATGTATGTATGTAGTTCATCGTAACCCGTTTCGGTACATATGTGGATGTACTACATACCTAAGTAGGTACGCATACCTGTAATGCGGGGAGCTGGGCTGCAAGTCAATTGCTTAGGTGCCCGCGAACCTAATTGCGGGATAAAAAGGATAGCCCCACTAAAATCTTGTCTTCCACTTAGCGCCTTTGTTAGGTACAGCCTCGATACATACAACTAATCATTCGCGGCCAAATTTACCCGCTGCGGGGGTTTTTCTATCTTGCCCAACCTAATATTCTCAAATAAATAAATAAAAAGGCAGCAAGCAATAAGTGGAATAGATGGGGAAACCCACGGATTGGTCTATCTCTAAACTTATCCTTAGAACCCATTGTAAGGCAATTCTATGCACGTAAAACCTAACTATGATCACACGTAGGGACCAAAATAAAATAAAATAATAAGCCCTAACCCATAGACGCCTAGCCAATGCTCTTTTCTTTCTATAAAAATATTATCATATGCCCTGGACCTTCCTATACGAGGGTGGTTTCATGGTTCTCCTAATCAACTTCCCGGCGTACGGCGGTATTAGAGAGATCGAACCGATAGCCAGTACACGCCAGAGAAAGCCCCTGTCACAACATAAATGAGTTAGCCGTTCTAGCGGCACTGACGGAGAAAAGAGTACTCACCAGCTAAGAAGAAAGTCAAGATCAAAGTATCCGCCTAGGAACGGCATCGATCCGACGTAAAAGAGGAAAGTTCCAACGATACACATAATCATGACCGGGTGCCAGGTCGTGATCTCAATTGTCACCATCAGGAGCTCGTTTAGGATGAGGACCGTGTAACTAACAGCTACCATCCTCGGACCATCGACTTCAGTGAGTATTTGGGATAGGCCCTGGATCATGCCGCCTTGATATATTGACACGAAGACCCAGACGAAAAAGGTACGGTAAGATAAGGAACGGCCAGACGTCAGTTCTTTGTAGAGCTCGGGGTAGAGGTTCGCAAGGTTCTCATCTACATCCTTGTCTAGAACGAGAGATAGTACCGGTGCTGCTGTATAAACGGTGGCATACCCCACGAGAAGCCAATCCTGTAGACTGTAAGACCAGGTCATTGTAAAAAAGGGGCATGGAAGAAACGTACCGTGTACAGGCCCTCTGGTTCAAATTTAATGGCAATACTATACATGGTCTGACAGACAGCAATAATGAGTCCACGATGAATGACGAATTGGGCGAGCTTGGCACTTCGCTTGTAGCTGTTTCGACCGTGCCACACTAACAATTTGGTGAGGTGGCAGAATTGCTCTATGGAGAAGTCTGCTGCGAGACTGGCCTGTCGACCCTCCTTGCCAACGATACCAACTCCCACATCCGCGGCTTGGATCATGGAGACATCGTTCCCACCATCACCAATGCAACAAACTCGCTTCTTAGTGAACTCCTTGATCAGTTTCGCAATGTCGGCCTTCTGCGTGGGTGAGCACCTGCAAGCAACGACTGTTGGTAGTCGCACAGCTACTGAAATAAAATCGACTCTGAAATGCGTTAGATACAGCATCAAGCTTTCACCGTCAATTAGTAAGCAGGCGTCAGTCTTGCTTCTAAGGAAGTCGAGATGATCTTGTGCATTATCCTTATGCTTGAGTTTGGTAATCGTGTATATATATTGTCCGCGCGCAACGAGTTTAGAACTGACAGCGACACATCTTGCTGTTTCAACTTTGTCGCCTGTTAACATCCATATTTTGATACCGGCATTTCGAAGTAGCTCTAGAGAAGGCTTTACATCCCTCTGGAGCTTGTCCTCAACGCCAGTGACGCCTAAGAGTTCAAGGTTACGCTCAAGGAATTCTGAGACCACGCGCTGCATTCCGGCATCACGGCTGCTGATCGCCAAAGAAGCTTCCTGGTAGCTAGTCGAGAAGTCTCGGTACTGTTCGTAGGATATCCTTTTTCGTCCAACCACCAAAGTCCTTAGGCCTTCCCGGGCCATATTCGCAGTCTCCTCATCTAGCCAATCATTTGCAGCCACAATAGACCCCATCACCGTGTCCGCACCCTTCTGGTAGAACCATATCTCTCCATTATCTGAGCCTGAGGGAGAAGGCTTCGACTGCTCATGAAATCGAACAATTATACCCATACGCTTACCGTCGGAAGTAAAGGGAAATATGTCTAGAATCTGAACCTGCACGACAACTTTTCCCGTCTCCGTCGATTCTAGGACCATCTTCTTGCGGTCTCGCTGTGCAAGGCGGAGACCAACAGATTCGGTCCACCGTACAATAGCTATTTCGTCTGGAGAAGAAGCTTGGTATGAAGTGACTGTTTGCCCATTTTCCTCTTCAACGGTAGGAGTCACATTGTGACAAAGAGCTAAAGCTAGAACAACATCCCGAACCCTGGATCCGATTTCCCGTCGTGTTCTGGTCGCAGTGACCCCTGCCGTTGTATTGTAAGAAGACGAAGGTGTGACGAGCGTATTATCATTTGGCGTTCCGATGAAGCCGTGTCTTACATACGCCACCACCTCGTCCATTGCCTCGTTGGCATAGGACACAGTACCCACATGTATCTTTTTCATTTCCATCTCATTTTGAGTCAAAGTACCCGTCTTATCACTGAGTAAATATTCGATGCGCCCTAGATCCTCCGGGATCGTACTGGTCCGGACTACCGCGCCCGGAATACCAGGATCTCGCTGAATAAACCACGAATAAACACTCTTTCCCATGTCAAGGTTGACCCTAAGACTGATCGGGACAATAGTCGAGAATAATACGAGAAATCGCATGATCTTCACATACCAGATATTGCCTTCGGTATTGCTAAATCCTTCCAAGGCTACGAGAATAACGGATAGTGCTAATGTGAGCGCGCAGAGTATTTTGGTCAAAGAGTTAATCTCGTATTCTAGTAATCCCGTCTTGGACCGTGATAACGAGGTGGAAAGGGCCGATCGTGTTTGCGGTCCGGTGTAGACGATTACAGCCATAGTAGTCGCTTGTGAAGCGATTATAGTGTTTGCCCAAGCAGTATTATCAATTGACAGGGGAGCAGAATTGCCCCTATCACTTATACTACTTTCATCGGACTGGTTATTCAGGACGTCGTGTTTTGTCGCCATCAGCTCAACCTTGCCAACAAATTCGTTGACCCTTTTATCCGGCTTCCCACCGGTTACCCTGATGCGGACAAACTCTTCGACAGGTAAGGTCTGAGTTAAGACGGACGCAAGACGAAGTTTCCAGTCCGTTTCACCGTCAAGCTGATCTGTCCTGATGAATGTCTCTCCAGAGGATGTACCTTCAGAAGCATCCGAACTGACAGCCTCGGGGTCCTTCCCCTTTCCAGGAGAAGAGTTGTTTTGGTCTGCATCTGTCTCAAAAGGGTTAACCAGTAACGACTCTGACTCTGCGCCTTCACTATCCTGAATTTGGGCTTGTGGACTCTCCGGCGTTGAGCATTTCAAGATGACAACATCAGCAGGAACGCGCTGGCCTTTGCTAAGCTTGAGAACATCGCCAACCTTGAGATCTCGGGATTTCTTGTTAACTTCTTGGACAGAGGATGACGGGTGACCTAGACCTTGGCCTTCCGCTTGTTCTTCTTCTTCCTGGATATCTGACAACCGGTCCCTTTGAGTTAATGGCTGGCGATCTGCTTTCCGTGAGGATGTTGATTTAAAAATTTTGGGACGGCGGGAGATTGAATTCTGATGCCCTGGCTCTCCAAACTGTAGAACAACATACTCCTCAGAGTTCGCTTCATTATCTCTCCGACGCCGCTCTATATCATCGTATGCCTCCTTTCCCATCGTGATAACAAGAACGAACGCAAGCGGCGCGACGTACGTGGATAAATAACCTATCCTTAGGGCTGGAATAGCCTGTGATAAGGCGACCAGTAGAAAATACATGTTGAAGAAGAAAGAAAATTCATTATAGAGAGTAACAGGAAGGAATGTGAGCGCCGTGTATTTCGCATTCGAGACGAGGTTCAGCGGGTAACGTATAGATTGAGGGGAACCAACGGCAATGGTCCTCGACGTTGAGGGGTCGTCTTCTCTATTATCAATGGCCGTATCGTCATCTTGCCGATTTGAGCCTGTGTTTGACATAAAACTATGTAGCCTTAAAGAGGAGCCGATATAAGCCAGGCCATGGAGTCTATCACTGGCGAACGACCGTCTCTGGGGGCGAGGCGCATATTCGTCTAAAAGGGGAGCTTCATCGCCGGCATGGTGACTTCCATCCGAGTAACGCTGCCCATGTATATCATCCTCTAGCAAATCTGCAGCGTCACCGTTCCCATCCCTACTGCGACCAAGCTCGCCATGGCCGCGACTTCGATTCCCCACCCGTCTCAGACCGCCCATGCGAATATTTCTCAACGCAATCCGTGGTGCTCGTTGTTCGGGACTATGGTTGCGTCCAAGGAGCCGGGAGCCTTGGGCGTGTGACGATGTGGTAGGATCTAATTCTTGTAGGTCCAGGTCGACATCTGAATCCGAGTCGTTTATAGGGGAATCGGGTGGCTCGGTCGGACGGTACGAGTTTAATGGCGGCATTCCCGCATTGGGATCATGCTCCTAAGAGGAGCTGCTTAGAAAATACGGAACCTGGTTGATGGCGTTCGCAGTAATGGACAATACAAAAGCCAACATGCGAATACCTAAAGCTTACTATAGCAGATATGGGCAGAATAGCCTCAAGTTGCTCGAACGTGCGCGTAATAATATCGAATGAGGCCTTGTAGATATTGTAAAATCTTTAGCGAATTCGAGACATAATAACCTCAATAGCAAAACTTAGTAGTGGGAGTGCGAGAGGAAACCGATTATAATTTGGTTGTATATGGAGTATTAAAGTTGGCCAAATACCAAATGTTCGACTTCCGTAAAGGTGGCTCATTGCAGGCAGGCGGATATATGTGGTTACATGGATACATATGTAGCCTGTGTACACTACATACAGAGGTACATAAGCTTAGCATATATGTAGGTAGCGTACCCACTTACGCGCATACTATGCAAGTATTAAAAGACATTAAGTTATATTAAATTTATTTTAACGCGTAAAAAATGTTTTTAAAAATGTTTATAATAATAATTTTAATCATAAAAAAAAATTATTTATTATATAAATACGTAAATTATACGTAAACGATATATATAAATATAATTTTAATCACGTGACGAGGTTATATAACTATTATTTTAATAAAAAATAAATAAAATTTTAATTACGTAATTATTATAATAAAAATATTATTATTATTTTCTATAATTAAGGATGGGAAAACCGTAGCTAGGAGCAACTGTCTGAAAAATATGCGTAAAACAACTCAGATCTTCCGTACGCTTATTTATTATTTTATAAGCTCAGCATGTGCATGTAGAGTAGTTTGATCACAATCCACATGCGCCCAAGAGGAAACAATTGTAATCGTTCGGATCGTACAAATCGAAAGCCCTCGATTAAACGTTTCGTTGTAATAGGAAAAGGGTTCAATGGCCTTCACCCCTTTGATATCTACCGTCTTCCTAACCCTAGCCATATAATAAAGCTGCTGGGAAGTCAGTTGGGTGATTAAGTAATAGTAGTATTTACTACTAACGTGCTCCAGCTCGCCAACCCTCTAATAGGCCGTATGGGTATGTCTGCCTCCTCTTCCTCATCTGTTGATCCTGAAAATCCGCCTTGCCCTAAGCGGCAGGGCTCAAGTCACAGCTTTTTATCACATCCACCTCGCTCACCTGCCAAGTTCATCCAACGGAAGATCGGCTTCGTCTTTTCCAACGATAGAATCAGCAACTTTCCAGATCTGGAGCATATTATCCTCAGCAGCGCTTGCTACGAGCCAAGGGTCGTTCAAATTCCAGCTGAAATCGGCAAGATGATTAGTGTGGCCGCCGTGCATGAATAAACTACCAAGTATTAGCCAACGTCTCTCCGTATGATATCAAAAGACTCACAGTTCAGGAGGCCCATCTTCTTGATCATCCGGTTGTTGTTCCTCACCAACTCTACTCAGATCCCAGAAGATGATTCGCCGGTCGTAACTAGCACTGCCTAGAATGCCTGCTTCGTGGGGATGCCAAGAAAGAGAGGTGACCGCGTCTTGGTGGCCTTCCAACGTATGGACCTTTTCCTTTACGTTACGAAGGTCCCAGATGCCGATGGTCTTGTCGGCGGATGCGGTCGCCACAAGAACCTCGGTCGACGGGTTGAATGCTAGTGAGTTAATGGCATCGCTATGCCCATCTTTGGCAACCAAGGATGAATGAATATTAGACGGCTGCCTCACATCCATGATCTGCAGGGTTAAATCGTCAGATACACTACCAATGAAGTTTTTAGAGATAGGATGATATTGAACATCGTTAACGATGTTAGTATGATGAGTGAACCGGCGAGAAGGACCGAGAGTTGTGCTGCCATTCTGTAGCGACTTGAGATCCCTGTTGCATGTTATTAGCATGATCTAATAATTGTCCACGTCAGGTTGCCAAGGGAGCAGCATACCAAAGACAGACGGTCTGATCCTCACTTCCTGACGCTAAAGCGCCTTCAGAATGGGGATTCCAGTTGAGACCAAACCCCTCTTGCTTATGACCTTCAAGACTAATTTGAGGATTAACCTTGCCGTTGGGCTCGAAGCTATGCTTAGTTCTATCGAAGATGAGGATTCTACCGTCGACAGCTAATGTCGCGATTAGGTCGGGATTCTGAGGGCAGTAACGAGCCTTATTGACCTCGCCAGGGTGGTCGATCTTCTGGACGATGCTCCATTTCATAGCTGTGGTAACATCTGTAGACGGGGATTTGCCGTAGCCACCAATTTCACCCCGCTCGTCATCATAGTCATTTGCATTAGGGCGAACCGACTTCGGTATCTCGACCTGGGCAATCTGGAGATGATTTGGCTTGCCCTCAGAGGTATGCGTTCCGATTAGGACTCGGTGGATACGGCAGTTCTTTCCCTCGGGCTCCTTTACGTCGGGAAACCATTGGACCGTGAGAGTAGGCCATGTTAGGGCGGTGCTGCAACTTGTTAGCAGGAAGAGCCAACTCGTGCTGCCATGTAAAAGCTCACCTGAGGATCATATCATAGAGAAAGGGTGAATTCTTTTTCCACGTCTTGTACTCTAATGATCGTAAGAATTGCACTAGTCACAGCGGAAAACAACCGTGGCCTACCTTCATTGATGAGCCTCTGCTCCTCGTCTTCATCATAGTCCTGGGCCATGTCCACTTCTACTACGTCAATAGGTATTCATAAGAAAAGTAAACAAGACAACACGATGGAAAAGGAAATGAAAATACCAACCTTCGACCTCCTCGACAACAGGGCCTGGAGCCATATTGAATTGACCTTTCTCGTATAATCGAATACGGGATGTTGCGATTTCGGGAGTTGAGCTTAGAATACTTGCTAAGTGTTCAGAAGGAATTTCGCGACTGGACGCGATGCGCGTAAAGTATGGAACTTAGAAGTACCTACATGTAGCCTACCTACATTAGGTAGCTAGGTACCTAAGGTAGCAAGGTTGTACCGCCTATGTATTGCCTGCGACCCGATCTGATAAAAGGGGGTTATGTAATACATCTTTATAAATGCATACATTAGTAGGTATGTACAGAAGTCGCTTTTAAAAGTTCTGTCCATACCGAGCGTTTATCAGTTTTAACCGCAGCTATCGAATAGCCTATTTTACTTAACGTTTTAAAATCGTAAAATATATAATTAAAAATATATTTATTATTATAACTGCTAGTTGCTATTAAGCCTTGCTAAGCTGACAAAGGCTAGCCTATGGGCAAAACTTTTAAAGGCGACTTCTGTACTAACAAGAATATTCCGGCCGTATGAATGCGGGGGAGCTGATAGGTACCTAAGTATATAGTAGGTTGTACATTGCACCCAATCTTACATGTACCTACAGTACGTGTACTTGAGTTTTGGGGTAAGGCTATCGGGTACCTACGTCCTCGTACCTATCCCCACTACAAGGTTACCACACCACTACCTAACTTGCAAAACTATAATCGCGGTCAATGACTCCTCGTCGCCCGAGATCAGAGCTACACACTACACACATAAACGCATACACAGATCCGCGTCGCATTCAAGTTACCGAGGTCGCCAGTAACCTGTCTACCTTCGTCGCCAAAAAAAAGCATTGCATTGCCCCAGATGCATTGCCTCGATGATATCCGACAAAAATTTAACTACATCGTCTATTCCATATAACGCCTTACTTTTTTAAGCGTCCTCCCTCATTAAACGTTCCTAGCAGAACATCAAATCGCAAGGCAGTATTTTGTAGTTCCTTGCGGACGAGGCCTTAGTTAGACAAAATTCGTCACATCGTACATCGGTCTTGCGGCGTTGTACACATTCTATAACTTTCTTTTCCTTTAACTACCAACTACCACTAATCAACTAAAGTCAGAATGGGGTACGTATAAGTCATTCTCGATATCAGATTTAAAAGCATAGTATTAACCCCAGTCTAGTGTTCCCAAGTTCTTCAGATGGCTCTCGGAGCGATATCCTGCGATATCCCAGCTCATTGCTGAGAATCGCATCCCCGAATTCGATAACCTTTATGTGCGACAATCCACCAATATATCCTCTTTCGCCGCCGTTCGCTAACCTACATAGTTGGATATGAATGGTATCATACATAATTGTACCCACAAAGACACTCACGATACCTCGTTCCGCCTGAGCGAAGATGAGATGTTCATTCGCATATTTAACTATATTGAACATTTGTTTGGCAAGATCAAGCCCAAGAAACTGTTCTTCATGGCTATTGACGGGGTGGCCCCCAGAGCGAAGATGAACCAGCAGAGAGCTCGCCGTTTCCGAACTGCGTTAGATGCCGAGCAGGCTCGCGAGAAGGCAATACGAGAGGGTCAGGAATTACCAAAGGATGATCCCTTTGACAGTAATTGCATCACGCCAGGTACCGAGTTCATGGCCAAGTTAACCCAACAGCTCAAGTATTTCATCAGCAAAAAGATCTCCGAGGATTCCGATTGGCAGGTTTGCGACGTAGTTCTGTCAGGTCACGAAGTACCCGGCGAAGGAGAGCACAAGATCATGGAGTACATCAGGAATGCGAAGGCCCAACCCGATTATCACCATAATGTTCGGCATTGCTTATATGGCTTAGATGCCGATCTTATCATGCTGGGGCTGTTAAGCCACGATCCTCACTTCTGCTTACTTCGAGAAGAGGTCACCTTCGGCCGCGCCTCTAAGACGAAATCGAAGGAGCTAGAGCATCAAAACTTCTACCTGATGCACCTATGTATAGTTCGAGAATATCTTGAATTAGAGTTCCAGGAGTTGAAAAAGGAAGGAGCCATAAAAGTGCCTTTCGACATGGAGAGGATCATTGACGATTTCATACTTATGGCGTTCTTCGTTGGTAACGACTTTCTTCCAAGTCTACCTAATCTTCATATTAACGAAGGGGCTTTGGCGACCATGTTTCGTATTTATAAGCAAGTCCTCCCGCAGTGTGACGGTTACATCAACGAAGGAGGGGTCATCAACCTCAGCCGTTTGGGGCTCTTGCTAGAGGAACTTTCCAAGGAGGAGGACCGGTTTTTTGAACATGAGAACGCGGACTCCAGGTGGCTCAAGGGTAAACAGTCCGTGGAAGCCAATGGCGAAGTGCCGGCTAAGACGAAAGGACAGCTCGTTATAACCAGTTCTCAGAAGGAATTGTGGAAGAAGATAAAAAAGTTCATAAGTACGAAGCCGCCTACTCCTCTCGACCTTGGCCACGAGCTTATTGCTGCCGACCGAAAATTCGTACAGGACACTGCTGATAGCCTTCATGTTGAATGGCGCACTATCGAAGACGATGATGGGCGACGCAACCTAGTCCTAACAATTCCTACGAATCCAGACGGCGATGAAAATGATGAAGAAGAGGAAGAAGGCCATATGGCCTTGTTTCGTGTTATGAGGCGCTATGATAAAGCTCAGGTAGTCGACTCTTCTGCCGAAGAAGCTCAGGCGGCCGCACAAGCAAAGTATAAGGAAAAATTCTTGGAGTGGAAAGACAAATATTATACAAGCAAATTCGAATGGTCTCCAGAGGCCAAGGAGGCAGAGCTGACGAAGCTTTGTGAGAATTACGTCCAAGGCCTACAATGGGTGCTATACTACTACTATAAAGGGGTAGCTTCTTGGCCATGGTTTTATGGTTATCATTACTCTCCCATGACATCCGGTAAGTCCTATTAACCTCGGCGCTAAAGCAAATGACTCTGCTAACAGCCGGCCCATCTAGACATTATGAAAGGCATGAATGCCGATTTAACATTCAAACTCGGTCAACCCTTCCGACCGTTTGAACAGCTAATGGGTGTTCTCCCAGACCGAAGCAAGAAGATTGTTCCTTCGATATACCACGAGCTCATGACAGATCCTAAATCACCAATCATCGATTTCTACCCACGGGACTTCGAACTCGACATGAATGGCAAGAAAATGGAATGGGAAGCAGTTGTTAAAATCCCCTTCATCGACGAGAAGCGGCTGTTGTCTGCAATGGCGCCTAAGAATGAGCTTCTTACACCAGATGAAAAGGCTCGCAACGGCTTTGGTGTATCAATGAAGTTTACATACGACCCTAGTATTGACTTTATATACCCCTCGTCCATGGTCGGAATCTTTCCCGATATTCCCCACTGCCACTGTGTCGAAAATATTTTTGATCTACCCACAACAGAAGGGCTAGAGTTATATGTTGGCCTCCTCGATGGCACAAAGGTCGGCGTGGACGCGTTAGCAGGATTCCCCAGTCTTGCTACACTGTCTTACAATGCTACCCTTGGCTTCCACGGAGTAAATGTTTTCCAGCAGGAAAGTCGAAACGAGAGCATGATTGTAACTTTAGCCGATGTAGAGCTCCGAAGTGGAGTTGAGTCGGCAAAAGTCAAGCTAGGGCAAAGATGCCACGTTGGTTATCCCTTCTTGCAGGAGGCTAAAATCGCACGTGTATCAGACGAACTATTCGACTATTCGTTAGCTACGGATGGTTCTGGTCAAGTGATACAGACTCACCATTCTAGTAGGGAGATCGACGACTGGAATAGAAAGGCCTCTCGTATTGAGAATTTCTATAGTAGCCGACTCGGCATCATCATTGGTCCCGTCGAATCTATGGTCCATGTTGAAATGCTGAAGGGGCTCATTAAGACAGATGAGGGTGCCACCATAAAAGAATATGGCCCAATCCCAGGCATGGAAACGGATTACGCAGCACAGGCCATTGTCGACGAAGTTGTAAGCGAAGACGAACGGTTCGTTGAGAAGGCCGCAATACCAATTGAGGAGGAGTTTCCCGTCGGATCAGGCTCTTTCTTTCTCGGGGACTATGCCTATGGGCGTCCCCTTCAGATCTCAAGTCACAACGGCAATCAAGCCGAGATCATAGTATCCTTGCCGTCCGTAAAAGAGCCAAACTTCACACAGCAGATCATCCGTCGCGCCGAACAGCAAAGCGGTTATCGTCCATCTTACGCCGTTGCGAAAGACTTGGGGCTTCACCCACTTGTTTTAAGCAAGATCACCTCATCTTTCTTCGTTCATACGATTGGCGGCAGCATGAAGGTGAATCTCGGATTAAATCTCAAGTTTGAGGGAAGGAAGCAGAAGGTCTTGGGGTACTCGAGGAAGTCAAATTCGGGGTGGGAATTCAGTCCTGCTGCGATTCAATTGCTAGTAGAATACATGACTCGTTTCCCCGATTTCTTCGCTGCTGTGATGCAGAACCCATCAGGGAGCGAACTCAACGAGACTCAACTCTGGCCAGACAGCAACGTTGCCACCGCTAGGATTAAGGAGATTGGCGCATGGCTCAAAACTGTGGAGACTAGTAAGTTCGAGCGAGTTCCTCTTGATGCCGAACAGCTGGACTCCGAAGTGGTCATGCAGCTCCAGAATGCGGTAGATTCGTTAAGGGAAACCAATGAAAAACACGGGGCTAAAAAGCTCAAGTGTGTTCCACGGTCCGCGCTACTTAACCCGAAAGATGCTACGCAACGACTCGGCAATCAGAAATTCAGCTTAGGCGATCGGGTTGTCTATGTACAGGCTTCTGGAAAGGTACCCATCGCTTCTAGGGGTACAGTTGTTGGTATAACCACTGTCGGGAATCACCACATGCTCGATATACTCTGTGACAACGCGTTCATGAATGGGACAACCTTAGGCGGCCGCTGCGACCCTTTCCGGGGACAGACCGTCCCAGCCAATTCGGTACTAAATGTCACGAACAGGCAGGTAATTACAAATTCGAAGATGAGTCTAGAAAAGCGACCAACTCAAACAACGTTACCCCTTCATACGCGAGGGTACGGTGCACCTGGGGGCTCAGGTGGTCAATTTAGAGACGCGCCAGCACCAGGTCCCCTCCGTGGGACCTGGCGGGGCGCCGTAAATGGCTTCAATCAGCAACCAGGACAAGGGCGTGCTGGTAGCCAGGCCTACCAGAAACCTAATGGAGCCCCTCGCCTACAGCATAGCAGCTCGGTTTACCAGTCGGCACCCAACGACGATCCATCGCAAGGGCCAGCGCAACAAACCGGTGGTTATCCTACACGCAGTCGCGGCGGCCTGAATCGAGGCGGACGTGGCAACCGTGGTGGCAGGGGCGCCTCAAATAGTCCGAGCAACGTGAATGGGTTTGCTACCCAGCAGTCATATAACGCTGTCCCTCCACCAGCCGGACTAGACACCCGCGGTAATAGAGG